TGCTCTCCTATTAGTTTTCAAGCGATTTTTTGACGTGTAATATGTGACGTAGTATCACTGCCGAAATGGCCAACACTCTCAACTTCTCTATAGTTTTAACAGGTTGGTAGTTCTCTGCAGTTACCTTTTTACCTATAAATTCATATATATCGTTATCAATCATGCAAATTGTTCTTATATTCACTCGTAAGTTTCACTCAATATAGCTTACAGTTCACATTCATGCGTTTTTCAGTTAGTATATGATACTGTTGCTGGCCCTTGATATGAACCACAATTAGTCCTTGCGCATAATGGAACACATCAGGTATCACAGTACTCGGTAGGGGAGCAGGAAGCGTAGCTGACAGCTCCCTTAATCAACTTCGTTTATCTCGGAGTATTTTTTTCCACAAAAAATCAAACACATTATATGTGTCTGATGTTGAACGCATTCAAATATTTTCACTAAAGGGATCATCGATCACAGAAAGCACTCTAACAATTAAGTCACTTGTACAAAGGATTTTCGTGGATGATGATGGTCCAACACTATACGCCGCCATAATTGATTTCGATGGTGGTCGCATCGAAAAATGGGTTTATGGAGCATCACATGGAGTACAAGTGGGTGATGAATGTCACGATTGTAGAGGTGTTTGGATTGATCAAGAGAAAAATGTCTATATGTCCGAATTTTTTCGATATCGTGTAGTAACATGGTCATCTCAAACAAATACTACGATAATTGTGGCCGGTCGAACAAACGAAAGTGGATCGACAGCCGAATATCTCTCACTCCCCTATGACATCTATGTCGATGCAACAGGAAATGCAGTCTATGTAGCTAATAGCGGTAATAATCGGATTCAAAAGTGGACAAAAGGTGCTCGAGAAGGAATTACAGGCGCTGGACCAAGTAAGATTACTGAAGATAATACTGATGCATGGTTTAATCCAACTAATACCCATTTAAAAAAAAGCAGGTGGGTATTTTTTGAATAACTTTTGATAAGAACAAGATAGAGAGGTGCGGTTTTCGCCATTAGAAAGAGAAGACTCAGGGGCACCATTACATGCTAAAATATGATTGGTTAGCAATGGACCAATCAGGTGCATTCCTGCTGAACATTTTGAGAACTCTTTTCTGGAACCATTTCACATCTTAGCACCATTTGTTAATTGATTTATTCGTAGGAAAAATTGTTCTCTTTCGATCTACGCAAGGCCGACCGTTCTAGCTTGTTCCATTCAAGAGTTATAAGCGTTTTTCTAAGACCCCTGATTTCAGCCAATTGACCTTGGATCAACCGGATAACCATCTGGGATGTGGTAATTCATCATGCTGAGTCGAATGGTAATATTTGTTTTTGGATTCGACGCCATCTTACATTGGTTTTTAGGAATTTTCTACATTTCATAATATCTACCACTGTGTACCACACGAGTCCACATTTCGAAAATATTGAGATAACACAGTAAGACGATTTCGAATCCAAAAACAAATATCACCATTCGACTCAGCATGATGAATTACCACATCCCAGATGGTTATCCGGTTGATCCAAGGTCAATTGGCTGAAATCAGGGGTCTTAGAAAAACGCTTATAACTCTTGAATGGAACAAGCTAGAACGGTCGGCCTTGCGTAGATCGAAAGAGAACAATTTTTCCTACCAATAAATCAATTAACAAATGGTGCTAAGATGTGAAATGGTTCCAGAAAAGAGTTCTCAAAATGTTCAGCAAGAATGCACCTGATTGGTCCATTGCTAACCAATCATATTTTAGCATGTAATGGTGCCCCTGAGTCTTCTCTTTCTAATGGCGAAAACCGCACCCCTCTATCTTGTTCTTATCAAAAGTTATTCAAAAAATACCCACCTGCTTTTTTTTTAAATGGACAATAGTATATGGATTGATGAAGAAACTAGTGTTATATTCATTGCTGATAGAATTTACAATCGAACACAATGATGGATACCTAAAGCATCAATAGAAGAAACCATTGCTGGTGGCTTTGGTATGTGCAGACAAATTTATCTCGGCAAAGAAAGATGATCTCTTGTAGTTTTTGATTCAGACGGGTTATCTAGACTATCATGCTGAGAGAATACACAATAAATAATTAAGATTGAGGATGAAGAAGTGGCAAAAAACTTTATAAAGATGAACTCATTTTGACATATTTTGCTTCTGAAGAATTTTTCTTTTTTTTTATTATGATGATCATCAACAGGGTTTCGGTAACGCGACGAATCAATTCGCCGAACCAATGGATATTGCATTTGACAACCAGGGCAATCTATATGTTTGCGATATGTTTAATCACCGAATTCAAATGTTTGCTCTGATTGACAATCAAGAATGTCTTCCAACATCGACAGATAATAGTTTTCAATTCTTAATCATTTATTTATACCTTTTATCACTCTCTATTCTTTGTTCGACTCGTTAGGAAGTTCACCGACGCACACGTAAGTAGAAAGCACAAGTACAGATGTATACAACAAGAAAATCTATGCTGTAGAATAATACTAATGGCAGCAACGTCTATGATTGTACAATGGATCAGTATGCAACAATTTTAACACCATTGATTTGCTGACTCTGCATCGATTAAAATAAAAGCTCGTAAATATTTGTTTTTATTAAAAATATATTATTTACATTTTGACATCGTACTCGTTATTGGCTTCATGATAAGAGAAGCAGTTTCAAAAAAAGATTTTCAGGGTACCCGTTCCTCGGTGCGTATGTTATCTTCCCACAAGTTCAACGAAAAATTTTGAAACATTTTGCTTAAACGAATGTAATCTAATACGTAGACTATAGACTGCAGTGTGGTTATAGGTGGTGTAGGTCTGAATGTGTGGGTTGTGCCTGTGCATGTAAAGCGGGTGAATGTGCTATGACTATGGAACAAGAGACGAAGCACATTCACATTCACACCATTTCATGCCTATATAATGAACGAAAAAGGAAAGCATTTAGTGCAACTCACTATGACCCAATCCTTATAATGTACTTATTAAAAAAGAATTAATTATTGAAAAGCTTATTTAATTATGAAAGGAAGAAAATGAATTATTGTTAAATATGAAGAAAAATAGATGAAAAGTAAATTGTAGATCCAAGTGTCTGAATGCATAACAAAATTGACGTTAAATTAGATATTTGCATTGGGTTTATCACTATTGCAGAATAATCTATCTTTTTTTAATTACGTTGTTCGATTTTGAAAAAAAGAGCTTTTGGCTGATTTCAATTCACCAACAGAACCAGTCCATTGACGAGGGATTTCATCTATTGTTGATTCTTGTTGAAGAACTTGTCTTGAGTGGTCACTATGAATCATGGTTTCTTCAACTATTTAGTTATAAAAAGAGACATTGTTCTTTAGTTATACAAATTATAAAAACATACATGCATCTTCTGGATCGGAATGACGTCGGTCTGACATTCTGATATTTTCACCACTCATTGCTTTTAAATTATCAATTACACATTCCAAATATTCTAACACATGATTTTGCTAAACAAATTTATTTTAATATGAGACGAAAAATAATGAAGTATCTTACTTGATTATTAAGTGTTTGTATTCGATTTTCAAGTGTACTGATTTTACGTAAGATAGCATTTTGTGGTGATTGGCTAAATATAAAAAATGTATGTTAAAAAAATTTTGTTGCGAGCCCTATACACTTACATTCGTTGTTCATCAATTTCCTGTTCTTCGTTAAATTTTCTACCAATTTTTGCATAATGATAATAAACTTCATCACCAAGTGCATCTTCAATTATTTCAATAGTAGTAGCAGCTTTATCATCAAGCGTAATTTCTATAGAGAAAAAAAATATAATTTAAATAATAACGAAAAGACAGATTTTTCTTACCATAATGAGTTCGCCTTATATGTCGATCATATTTTTTTTCAAACCCTGGTATTTTAATCAATTCTGATGATATATATAATATGCATCGCCAAAAATGAGTAAAAAGAACTAGTGGAGGTGGTAATGCGGGTCGAGATAAATATTCGCATATTAATGAATATCGTTGAAATTTCCAAATTCGATCTGTATCAGTTTCAAGACGGTCAAAAGTATTACTAAGGAAAAACAAATGAAACAGTGTAAACATAAAATTACGTTATTCAATGTTGAGAACGTTGTATCAGAGAATTAATAAAACATCATCTTTTATAAATATATTCAACAAAAAATTCAGATATTTCAGGCATAGAAATGAATTTTGCACAAGTTTTTCAAATAAATCTAGTATGAAAATTCATATAAACAGAGTCTAAACTCTGATAAGAGTGAACTAAGAAAATAGTAAAACCATAATTACTTTCGTGCTCAAAAATATACATAGATAACTTTCACTGTTTTTATCCAGGGTACAAATCGAGAGAGTAGTATGATTTCAAACATCGGATTGGCCCTTTCGGAGTTTAAAATGCATTGTCAAAAAGAGAAAAATCTGAAAAAGACCTCGATGACTTTTTCAGTTAGACTGATCATTTTATATGTTGAATTTCATAAATCGCGTTTCAAAATGATACTTTATTTATAATCTTGTTCTATACATAACTGAGATGCTTTTTGTGAGAAAACTGTTGAATATATTGTTTCCAATTTCAACAGTATTTGTTGTTAATGGTAAAAATTGGTCAGTATACTGACAATTAACTCGTATTAGCTGGATACTTGAATGGTGGACTATCCTCTGATTGTCGTCATTCTACTGCGATATACCTAAGAACAATTTTTTTTTCTTAGTTTCCTCTAAAAGCAAAATCATCCCAAGATACTATTTTCTCATTCGATTATTGGCAGAAACATTTTCTACTAGCAATATCCATATGAAAGCTTTAAACGATGAAGAAATACAGAGTATTTTTACATCATATCTTGGAAAATTGAAAAGAGGGTTAATTTTCATATGACTATTAGAAGCATCATCATATTCTTGCCATTCTACAAAGAATTACTTGAATAAAAATAAGAGAGAGAGTACAACAAATAGAACATTTTTCAGTCTAAAATATATTTTAACAGGAACTTGCTCGAAACAAGCAGTGTCATATTCGATTGTACACTGAAATCTGCTAACAAAGTTTGAGACATTTTGGAGTCTGACAGTATATCATAAGCTTTCTATATGAGTATTATAGTGACAATAATTTAATTAATTCTATCTTTTTTTATTCGTATTCCATACCTGAACATTGCAATAAGTAAATTAACCAAAAGTATACTAACAATAGCCATATAGCAAACTAGTAAAATAAAAACAGCATAACCATTTGGTCGATAATTATCTAAATATAAAAAAGTTTATGATTTCAAAAAAAGAAATATTATTTCTTATTTTCTTACGTCCAAATATATCTAATGAAGTTAATTCTCCAAATATTTGCCAATAAGCAAAATCTATAATTCGACGTGGTAAATCCCAATTGAATGGATTTGCACCATAAATAAGACTATACGATGATACACCAAATCCCAAAATAAATACAGTTAACATAAGCATAAAAAATTTCAAATCATGTACCTTAAAATAGTTTTTTTGGAAAAGCAAAAATCAATGAATTCAAATGGAAAATTTTCATTCAATTATTTACCATTTCACCAATCATAACAAGTTTTGGACCAAGTTGTTTAATAGCAGCAAATAAATCTAATGAACGCATAAACCATATTGTTAAGTCCACTGATAGAATAATACGTGCTGCACAAAAACATTGTGCTGTTGGAAGAAATCGAAGACCAAAACCAACATAAAAAAGAATTATGGCTAGAATATCTAATTGGTTCCAAAATATTGCAAAATACGACGCAATTTTATTACGAATTGTTTGTGCTTCCCTTACAAAAACCTATGAAAAAATTGATATTGAAAAACAAAAGTCGTTAGCATAATTTGGGAAAAAATGTCTTTTGAGCACCAAAAAAAAAGACAATTGAGCACCTAATTAGTTATATGTGAAAAGAGCACCAAAAAATAAGACAAATGAGCACCAAATTAGTTAAGTGTGAAAAGAGCACCGAAAAATAAGACAAATGAGCACCAAATTTATTACATGTGAAATGAGCACCAAAAAATAAGACAATTGAGCACCAAATGAAAAAAAAGATATTAAAGAGATAAATCAATTCTATTTTAAAAGAATCAAAGTATTATTCGAATATATACAGATGCTAAGTTGTGACGAGCTCAACTCAAATTGTATAATCTCATTCCTTTTTGTAAATTATGGTACACAAATGAGTAACGCTGTATATATACGACAAGCTTGAAAATTATAATAATATACATTTCTGTGAAGAATCAAAAAATGTGACACAAAGAATATCAACTTTTGAATATCGTCTAAACGCTCGATAGAGCTAATCAAGGGTGTGGGTGTGGATATGGGTGCACGAGTAGATCCTCTCCTTACACTTACACCTACACCACACCCTGCTTTCTAGTTTCTCCACTCAAATCATGTACATGTCCAACTGGCACGAAGTTATATTTATACAAACATTCAGTTGGCTTAGCAATATTACTGAAACATTATGAATTAACTGATAAAACTCGTTCGGAACTTTTAGGTAAACGACGAGGAAAAGGTTGAACAAAAAAAGTATGATCTGTTTTATTATTATAAAATGGGCTTTTCATTTTTTTTTTTGTATATTGATTTCGTACGCATATCTATTATGTATCCTATTTGTTTTTTTTGTTATTAATGTACAAATTTGTTGTTCTTATGTCATATGTTTGAATTTGGTGCTCAATTGTCTTATTTTTTGGTGCTCATTTCACATGTAATAAATTTGGTGCTCATTTGTCTTATGTTTCGGTGCTCTTTTCACACTTAACTAATTTGGTGCTCATTTGTCTTATTTTTTGGTGCTCTTTTCACATATAACTAATTAGGTGCTCAATTGTCTTTTTTTTTGGTGCTCAAAAGACATGTCGTCCATAATTTGTACAGGGTTAAAACATGAAATACGATGTCGTTGTTATTATTAATTACAAGAGACTTGTTTATTTTATTTATTTTTGCAAAAAAAATTTTCTTTATCGTCCCTTTTACTTAATCTTTTAGGAATGAAATAACTAAGTAGTTTTTTGTATGATGACAAAACCGTATTGATATACGGTCTGTAAATGGAAAAGATTCAAAATTCTACTTCAATCATCTTTTTAGATTAAATTTTATAAAAAAAAAAAAAAAAACTTATTTTTAAATTACTTGTCGAAATTCTTCACAAAGTAATGTTGAAACCCAAACAAAAAGTATATATTCCGTAATAGATGCACGATCGTGTTTTTGAAATCCGTATGGAACTGTTGTGATGTTCGTTATGTTTTGATCAGTATTAATTGATGGATTGTTATTATTATCTTGTTTTTCAGAAGGATGAGCTGGTCCACATACATCCGATTTAAATTCGTAAAGAGGAAAAAAATCACATAATATCATGTAAGAGAAAATCGATAAAAAGATTATATGAGAATACTAGAAATGAATATGAAAAAATTTTAAATATAAGAATATTTTGAATGAAATACATACTAAATTATATAGATATTTAACATATGGAGCACGTATAAAATTAAAAATATTTCGAAAATAAATAATAATTCGAATTTTTGTTCTAAAGTAAGAAAATCAAAAATTTTCTTTCTAATTAATATTAATAATTTTACGATTATAATTTATCAAAATATTTCAAGCATTTATTTAATTAATTAAAGAAGTTACTTTGCATTAGTTTTTTTTATTATTATTTTTCGTTTACTTTTTACACCAACCACTATTGTCGACAACATCAACATTAGTATGATTCTCATTTATGTTACCATCTATTAATGTCTGTTGTATATCATCTGTTTGTCTAGACAAACAATAAAAAAAATGAAAACTCAATTTATGTATATAATCAAATAATCATATGAAAAAAAAATATACTAATCAAAGACAATACATAAGAATTTCTATTCAAGAAAGAAATATCACCCATCTATAGCATTCCAGATGCTAACAACTGAAATAATAGGCAGTCCGTAAAGGATGAAGTGCTATTGTAATCAATTTTTTACTATCTTAAATAACTACTGAAAAATTGCAAAAAGATTTTGTTCGATAAAAATTTCCACTATCTAAACAATTTACTATTTTTAGTTTTCAGAGCTCATTTATCTTGTGAACGTTATTCAAAAAAGGGGCGAATATCAATTTCATAGACTGGATCATCTTCAAAATCTAAAAATACTTTCTTGCTATCTTAATTCTCGAACAAAGTTTTATCTTAATATAATACAATTGATTACTATTTTAAAGAAAAAAAAAACAAATTTAAAACATCATACTTTTCCATAAAATTTGTTGATTTTGGTGTTTTACTTCGTTCTACTAAATCTGTTTTACTTAGTAATTCCTAAATATTTATAAAAAAGATAATACACAAAAAAAAAAAAAAAGAAATCAAATAAAAATGATTACATCTAGAAATGTTCTTTTTTCAATTGTTTTAACTAACTCATTGTGATAACGAAGAAAACCACTATACCAAAGCATAAATGTTGAGAACATGATTTTCATAGGACCTTCTCGGTGATCAATAAATCCAAACCTGAAATTAAAGTTTTTAATATTCTACGGAAAAAAAAAAATAATAACTTCAAATTTTGATATACCAAATATTATTAAGTACATCCTGTACTGCTTGTTGAGCAATAAAGTGTTTAGCTTCAGCTTTTATAGCTAATTGTAACCATGTGATATTGCCATAGGATGGTATTCGTCTTACAATCGCTTTTGTACATACTCGAGCATTAATTTGATAAAATCGATCAAGAATTTGTACAGCTAAATATTCGAATTCTTCAGCAGCTCGATAATATCTATTATCATTCTCTTTACGAGCACGTTTTCTATAAATTAATACAGCAATTAATGCAGCACCTAAGAAAATAAGTATTGTTTTTTTGCAAATGTATAACAATATATATATATATATATATTGTAGAGAGGAAACATAGCTTACAAACTTTATTTTTGCCTCGAGTCCAAAATAATAGATCAAATTCACGTCTACCGGTTATCACAGACCAGAGAAAAAGTTCTTTGTCGACATCCATATGACAATCGGAAGATGCTAGAAAAAAAAAATTTAATCAGACAAGAAAATATGTTTGTTTCATATATATATATAACTTTTGACATTTTTCATTATCCTGATTAATATTTTATTCAATATAGAAGTCAAGGAGTTGATATCCGTAAGAGCATTTAGTGCGATCTTCCGAAGTTTTAAATCACCTCTCCGAAAGAGAAAATATAGACAAAACACTACAATTCATTATACTTGAGAATTAATTATATAACAAAAAAAAATAAACATGTTCTTTTTCATTGAAACTTTTAGGACTATCTAATGACTGTCAAAAGCACTCTGAGGTTGCATTCCAAATCAAAATATTCGATTTTAGTTTTCTAAAACGCTTGATACACAGTAAACTGTCATAACTCATCGTCTGTAATCTCTCCTTATCTTAATATACTCTATCGAACAAGATATGAATGAGTTAAATTAAATGTGCATTGAATACTTAGATATAGTGCGATAGAATCACACTTTAACCAATATCTGTTGACTCTTCTTCGAAAATTCTACGAGACTTTTAGTAACAAATGCTTAACTTTGTTGGATGGATATAGCTTTATATATCAACAAATGAACTTATTCAAGCGAAAACAAAGAATAGTGTTGCGAGGAAAAGTCCATAAATATAAGTCCTGAGAATAGCATATTGAGGCTATGGGTGTGCTGAAATATCATCATAATCAATAAATAGTGGAATCTCATCTAAAAAATAAATTCCAGAAGTTCTTCATAATTTAGAATTTAAATATGAAGATATTTTTTAGAAATGAAAAATTTTAAGTGTACAACACTGTGTGATGTAAAGAATAAAAAAAACCGAGTCATTGGTTTTTTCTAGTGTTCTAAGTTCGATATTTCTCCTTGATACTAGACAAGATAAGATCAGTGTAATAAGCGTAACGAAAAATTTAGATAATGAGAATAATATTAAAGGAAAAAGTCATACATTATGAAGGAGAAGATAGAAAGAGAAAGAGCTTCACGAGGTAAATCTTGGTCACTTTGGTACAGGAAAAAAACTGAATCACTTTAAATAATCATCTTATAGTTTTTGGGATATTTTTGAAGGATAAAACAATTGATTTCTAATGAATTTGTTATTATTGAAATTTCTTTTAATTCACATTTATGTCTAACATATAAGAAAATAACTTCAATATCATATCATGTAAACAACTATTCATATAATAGATATAAAATTTATGCTCCATTGATAAAGATATTTATAGAGATTATCAACAATCATGTTTGTTGTTTCATATCTTTGAAAATTTTACGCAAAAAGACAATTCACTAATCATTTTCAAGTCAATTAATAATGAATTTATATAATTTATAAAAAGAAACTAACTAACTTGCTGTACTTAATCTTCCAGAGAAATTAGTAGATATTCTGTTTTGATGATGTTGACCTCCTGATGATCTCGTACAACATGTACATGTTTCAGAATCATTATCAAGATTTAAATTAGTATCAGGCGAATTTGTATACGGACATAAAGCAACATCAACATCAAAAACATCGCCTATTAATCGTTGAATTATATCTGTATAGATTATTCGTAATGGATTCTTGCATGAAGAAGAAATTGTAGAATTCTATATACAAAATAAAAATAACAAAACGACTAGAATTAGTGAATAACTAAAAATAAAACAATAAATGATTATACTACTTTCATGCTCTTTACATAAAGTAATGATAGTTTGTTATGATCTCGAAATAAATCAGTTAATGAAAAATCATGATCAAGAAATAATTTAACAAATTCTATTTGATTTCGAATGAGTGCCAATTCAAATAAATCATTGTCATTAACACTCTAATTAAACACACACACAAAAAAAAAGATAATTTTAATAAATAAAAATAATAAAGAAATTATTTATTGTTCTTACTTGCCAATATTCATCTTTAGTCATAATATGATTTTTTACAATATCAACACGATTCCATTCTAATGCTAAACGAAATTGTTCACACGTTCGTTGATGATTTGGTCTAGTCGAATCAGAACCTGGAGTAGCTAAAAAACAAAACCAAAAAAAAAAAAAAAGAAATTTTCTTTTCAAAATAAGAAACAACAATAGATTTATATTTTCTTTATTTACCTTTTAATAAAGCTAGTAAAACAGCTAAATCAATATCAGGCTCAATTGGACTTCGTGAATTAAGACTGACAATATTTAAAAAATTTGTTCGAGTATGAATACATTCATAAATTAATGCAAAATAATCAGTTGTATCTGCTTCACGTGACTTTGTCTTGCCTTCAGTTTTCCCACCTTTTTGAAATTTATTACTACTACTGGTATTTCCTCCATCACGTACACCATTAATATAGGCAAGTTCTTGTTTAAGATCATCACGAAGTTTATTTTCTATATTATCATGATGTTTTTTTATAGCTTCTGGAGTCATACTAAAAAATAAAAAAGAACTCATATGTATAAATCATCTTTGAATAATTGAAATATTTATAATTCTACAGTAAATAATAGAAATACAGTAATCATGAAAAGTCTTATTTCAGGAAAGAATGAAGATTCAAATTTTTCTATTTTTTTTTCAATATGTTTATTAAAATATAATTATTGAATGTCGAGATTTTCTTCTTGCTTAATTTATCTATGTATATATCCGGAGCGACTTGAACTAGAGATGTTGACGGTTGATTTTTTTTTCGCCCGCAGACCATCCGATGGATTAATGCAAACTTTAGTAGTATAGCTTTTACTTGAAAATTCATCAATTGTTTTTTTTATTGGCGTCAGTACTACAAAATTTCAAGACAAGAATTAGTAAAGTAAAAGTTGTAGTACATAATCATGAGTATAATACTAATAAACACAAATACTGTTTCGAGTATGATTCTTATTCTCATCAGTATCCTATAATCGAAGCTAAAAAGAGGATATATTGCTGTGATAGAATATTGTATATTTCACTGTTTTTTGCTTGATCAGATATAGTATATATTTCGGAAAACTCTTTTGCAACTTTGATCTTAACGTTTTTTTTCATTATCGACTCTCGAACTTTTCCAACATCATGTATATAGGTTTGTGCATTACAATAAAGACTATTGTGTTTAAGGTTAAAATGATTTTTTTTCAACTGTAATTATCAAAAATGAAAAATATTGATACAAGAAGATATCATTAAAGCGTTTACGTCAATCTTTGTAAAAACGAAAAGTTTTTTTTTTTTTGTACAATAACAATTCTATATATCAAGCTTGTACAAGTCACATCTAATAAATAAATATATAATTGTACTATGTAATACGATGAAATATTTTATACTTTCAAAACAAATATAGAAGAGTTTTCTGACCTTTGAAAAAAAAAATATTTTAATCAAATTCTTTCATGAATTTTCACACTAAATACTTTTCTCTTTCTAAATGAGAGTAAATCTCAACAATGTTCAATCATAGTACTAGATCAAATTGAAATCAATACAAAATTTTCCAATCATCATTGCTGCTTTGATCTTCTGCTGTCTTAAATGTATTTTATTAGTTTTATCTCTTTATACAGTCTAATACAAAACAAGAACATTGATATTTTGTTTTTTTTTACAGTATTATTTTTGTAATATATAGAGCTTAGGAAAACTTAGTAGACAGAAATTTTTATTTTGAAAACTTTTTCTAACGTTTCAAACATTCTACCTACATTACATAATTGATTGTAATGAAAGCGAGTTTAAGGGATGAAATTGAAAAAAAAAATGAGTACGATAAATATTTTATACTTGTCATATGGAATATTAGATTTGTGAGAATATTTAAATAATAGTAGAAATTTTGTAATAATTCAAAAGAATTTCGAAGTATACTTAATTTGTGAACGTGTCGAAATATAACTCGAATATTTCAGATCGTAATTATATTTTGTTATTAATCGAAATGATTTCTGACAAGTATCTGCTACTTTCTATAGAAAAATGTGTAGAGAAAATTCTTATAAAGCAAAAAAAGAACAAAGGAAAAGTGATTTCTTTCTTTTAAATTGACAGAAATTTTTTATAATTTTTTTAATCTATTTACCGTGTAGCTTCTTCAGATGCTTCAAAATTTCGATGATATCTACGGTAAAGATGATAAGCTTTAGCAAACAAATCACAGCAACGACCTGTTCCTTCAAAAAAAACAGCTGGTATACAATTTTGAACAACAGCTTGATGAACTATACGAAAGAAAAATCAATTGTCTAGGTTTTTTTTTTTGTTGTTGTTGAAACAAATAATAACATTTTATACCTGTTCGAACAGTATTTGGACCACCTTCAACAACAAGAAGAACAACAGGTACTCGATCTATAAGAAAAGATATGTAGACATTTAATATTTGTTTTGTCAAGAAGATGAAATTTCATATTAACCTAATTGTTCTGATTGTAAAAATGATGATGCCCCATCACTATCATCATTTGTAGTAGGTCGTGTTGCAAAAAAATCTCCTGAAATAGCTTTTTCAAGGCTAGCACGAAATGCTATTTCGCCACCATATTTTCTTCGAGTTCCATCATCAACAAAAATAAATTTAGTATGATTAGGTTCAAGAGGTGCTTCACCTTTTATTACAGAACGTGGTTTAGTGTAGTGTACATTTGCTCCATGAACATCAAGTTGATCAACACTGGATACGCAACCCCAAGTTGCAACACCCTATTATAAATAATTAATTAGGAATAAACTTGTGAGTTTGAGAAAAAAACAAAAAATTTATTTACAATCAAATGAATTGGACGCGAAAGATTAGTATTTGTTTGTATTATTTCACCGACAAGTTTCATGATGCCTGTATTCATACCTCCAGTAATAATCCAAGCACCTTAAAGTCAAAAAACAAACAAAAAAAAATAGAATAAGTCTTTTAGCATACAAAGAAAACTGACATATTGTTTTACTTAAATCAATCAAAACTATTTTTTGTTAATCGGTTAAGAATAAGTACAATTGATTCAAATCACACATCTAACTATTTACTAGGCGTTGTTAATAGATTATCTGATTCAGAAGCATTTTGCTTCCGTTAATATCTGAGATCAACTTGTTTCAAGTCTAATCGAAAGGATGACCACATATATTATTCCTTTAACATTTTAGATCATACTACTTTGCCGTAGAAAGTAGACACAAATATGATGATATATTTAGAAATTCAAAACTGATAGGAAAGAGATGAATCGATGTTTTTGTAAAGGTCTTATACTAAATCTTCCATAAATGTACAAGTTCAGCTTGTTTCAGACTCTGTATTGTGAATCAGAAAAATCTACTAACCTATTCGTTTTATTTTTTGTGTTTATTCATATGTAGAGTTCGAAAAAAAGGAAGAATCTCGGTAGAACTATCATTTGCGAGATATTTCTACTTGGATGAAGAAGAGGTGAAAAAAAAAATTATTTTGAAATTCGAAAAATCTAGCAATAATCTTGATTGTGATTCCAGAAAGTAGCAATAGAGACAGTACTTCAATTCATGATCTATTGAAGTTACAGAAAAAAATCATTTTAATCTAGCTTTCAAAATCTCTCAAGGTTGGCTGATTCTAGAGCCTGTCGAATCCAAAATTTTCAGACATGAATTCTGTCAGGATTGAATATTCGAAAGCAATTTCAATTAAAAATCTCAATAACATTATTTAATTTTTAATACCAGTTGTGCTTGCAACTTTTAGAAGGCCACGTCGAAATGCTCTCAATAATATTGGTTTCATATTATAGTCTTTTGCACCACCTGTTACCGATATAACCAGTGATGGTCGCTAAAAAAAACAAAATCAATCGTAAAACAAATTATAATGTTGTATTTTTTTTTTAATAATAAAACCAACCTCATGACACCATTTCTGAAGCACGATTTCTTTAACGTGCATGACAGAAGCATCAGGTAATAAACGAATAAATTCTGCTCGATTTGATTTATTATCCGCAACTTAGAGAGAAAAGAATAATAGTATTCTTTTTATTTATTAGTCGAATAAATTTATGTATCTTACAAGTAATTGTTCCATGAGATTTAATACCAATTGTATTATATAACTATGTCAAAAAGAAAATACAAGGTTAGATAAATTTCATTTCGTTTTTAATGATTTTTAGTTTTACTTGATTACTGTTTCGATCATCAGTATACATAAACGTTGAAAAAATATCCGTAAGATGTTCAGAAAGAAAATTTGATGTAGTTTGATTACTTATGATTGTGTCTCGTTCGTTAAGCATCTCTACTTCACTTTTGAAAAATATTAATAAACGTCTGATTCGGTTCGTTGATTTATCAATTTTGTAGTCACTCATTATATTTTACATTGAGGTGGGTGAGTCAACCAACCAACTGATTACTCTATACATATACAAGAGTTATAATTAATTCTTATGATTCATTTACCTTGTCATGAAAAAAATACGAAACATTTATTATTCATTGCATTCATTTCATACGTTTTTGAAAAACAACACTGAGTTCATCTACAACAAAAAAAAAACCTAAATTATCTGAAGCTAGTTATAAGAAAGGTTTATTTTCATATGAATGTTTTTTTTAATTTGATTTGAATAAATCTTTTTTTTTTCTTTAGGTATGTACTTTATTTAGTAAATATGTAATATATCATAAAGTTGTCGAAGAATTTCAAGATTGGATACAAACATAATGTGGAGCAAATACTTATAACGCAAAAACGTCAGTACAAGCATTATCTGAATGAGCTGAAGAGTTTATTTAAAGCGTGTTATTTCTTTTATATTGAAGGGAGTTCATTAAGTTTGGACCTACTTTATCAATATCAGTTTTTTTACATGTTTTATTAATAGAAAAAAACAAGCATACGAATATTCTAATATTTCATCAAAAATGTTGAATTATTCTGAGATATATGACAGATGAAAAAAATACCGAATCGACTGTAGCAAATGATAGATCAAGATGGAGGAATAGATATACAAACTTTAATATTCATATTGATGCTTTTTAATCAAGACATTTGATTTGTTAATCTCATCTCTTTCGCTAATTTTCTTTTGAATATCATTGATAAAACATTTAAAAAAATGTTGATTAAATGGGTCAAAACTTAGGGAACACCTTCTAAATAGAAAAAGTCTTATTTAATAAAATTTAAATTTACTGATGGACGACGTTATCAATATTAATCTAAATGAACCTATTTTTCAAGATTAAACCTGCATAAAAGTGAATGAAGTAATTAGTGGCGTATCCAGAAAATCGTGAGTGAATGGGCAATACCTATCGTCCTTGAAAGCTCTCTCCACTTCAGCTTATTTTTTTTTCAGTATAAATATCATTAAGAGGACCATTTAAGTAAAATGTATGTTTTAAATTGAGAAGCTAATTATATTCATTAGTTATTATATTGTTATACAATTTCATCTATGTACCATGTGCTCCAAGCCATTCGGACTTTCTGAAGTTTTTTAGACTATAATAAAATCAAAAACTAACATTCAGCATAGTAAAAAATTAAGCACTGGTCAATAATGCAGTTATTTACCAGGATTTTCCGAAAACCTTAAATTCAAGTTTTAATTTATTATTTAGTAGAGTATAGCATCATTCATCTTCCGCGGAGATTTTTATACAGTGATCACTCATATTTCTAGGCCAGCAATAGCCTGTCCAGCTAAAGTAGATCCTGATTGTGCAAATTTGAGCTAAATATTTTGTCAACATCAGACGACCGAGCTTTATTCATGTAGAAGGTTTTTTTAGGTTTTCATATTTGAAATAACAGTAAAATTATCGAAGATGGAGCTATAGTTAAACATCAATGGATCACCTTCTATTGTTATCAAAGCTATAGAAAAAATTAGGTGTTTTTTAAGGAGCTCAAAACTACATCGATGAGTGAGTTACAACAATGTTTTTGTGATAACTGTTTGTAGAAACAAACTTCCCCAAAACAAATTATGAGCTTTTTTGGATGGTTCTGATAAAATAAGTCCTTTTGGATGAATAAATTATCATGACTTTCTATCCTTCTAGAGCCGCCACAGTTCAACCAAATGGAATGAGAATTTTACTAAAACTAGAACTTTTATATATCTTACTGCAGTGTAAGTTTCAGTTACTCTTTTATGTTAAGATATTGAGTTATGACAATCAAAACTAAGTGACTGCATTACATGTGAGCAGGCTATCATCGGCTCTTTAACTCTTTCTTAGGAATGAAATATACATATGAAAAAAATCATGCATAGAGGGTGTGGGTATGGATAATAGTTTCTACAAAGGAAACATCCACGCTCGCATTCGAAAAAACACGACAGAAAACTCAGAGATGTCTCATTTTGTAGAGAATTATTTGCTCTATTTTTCTCTATAATTTAAACAAGGTTATATTTCCGTGTTCTAAGTGTTGAAAAAATAGAGTTTTGATTTTTGGAGATCCTATCTTTGAGAATATAATCATAATTTGTATTGCCTTATATTCCCGTTGGAAGCAATTTTTTTCTACTCAAGTCAATATTTGAACTCTTACTAGTACATAGGGTAGCAGAAATTACACCTTGTAATAGAAAATCCTATGTATATTATTATTTCCAAGGAGATAGATTTTCGAGGAAGTCCTCTGTTAAATTCCTTTTGTCTTTTCAAATACTACTAATAAAAACGTTTGTGAAGAAAATCGTGATAGTTCCAATTATTCGAAATATATTTCTATGATTTAAAAAGAACCTACCAATCATTTGAACTTCAGTTCTCATTCAATTTTCAAGTGCAAATCCTCAAAATGATGCATATTTTTTATTCAGTATGTTAATTAAGGTTACAATGTATTAGTTAATTGATTAATTAAGAGATGATCTTCTATCATGGCAAGGTCTGTTGATACTAAGGATATTTTTGTGATCATACGAGGAATTTAGATGACAATCATTTTGCAGATAACGAACGAATTAAATTAAGTATTCATACTGTACGGGTGTATCAATACTTAAGTAAATACTGATCCAGTGTAGTCAGTGTGTTAGTTAGAGAACTGTAGAGTTAAACCTTTTTAGCTCCGAAAATTCTTCTTTCCGTAAATTAGCGATGGTTTACATATTCAGAAGTATTATGTAATTTAAGATTAGTGTACTATCACCAATCATATCTGACTTGAGAGTATTGTGAGCGAATTAATAGATATGTTACATAAAAAAACAATAAAATTGATTAAGTTTTTGAATATGATTGTATACCCAAGGTCTTACTACGAGAAGAAATTTTAAATTTGATCAAAAAAGAAGATAATTCTTTCAAATTAGTACCATTGAGAAACGCTCACAAAATACAATTAAAGTCTCGGATGATTTTCACCTAGTTATTTTACATAAGAAAAAAAAAAGTTTTTCGTAGCTTTTATAACTTCGATGAAGTTCAAGGTCTCTTGAAGGTCTCTACTGTCAGTTTCTCAATCATCATCAATCTAGTAAAGTAGTTATCTGCAGTGGAATTTTAATCAAATCATTTTTTGATTTCATTTATTTTTTCTTTTTTGTCTTTATTCATTGCTATCTAAAGCGTTTCGTTCTTTGCATATAATGATAAACGAATGAAAGAATAGAGTCAACTAATGATAACGTGGAAAAAAAAGAATGTGCTATCGTCGTTTCGTTTATTATCGAGTATTTTAGTTATTTCATCGGTTATTATGACGACATTAGATATTACAGTGCAAGAGTTACTTATTTATCCAATAAGATCTTGTGGTGCTATTAAAGTCAATGAAGCACAAACAACTCGTTATGGACTTTCACTTCCATCAAGTCCTTTACTTTCTGATCGGTATAGATTAATGTTTAAAAAAAAAAACAAAATAAATCATGAAGTTTATTCTATCTAGACGATGGATGGTTATTGAAGGAGCTCGACGACGAGACCAACTTCATATATCTCGAATGGCATTAATTCAACCAACATTTGCTACATCAGGCCTTCAAGTTGATGCACCAGGAATGGAATCATTAATGATTCCGTATAGTCTATTGCCAAAAGATATTATAGAAGTAGAGTATGTTTTATAAAATAAAACTTTTGATATCGATATTATTTTTCTTTTTTTGCAGAGATCTTAATGTTAAAGGTCGAAGATATGGTGGTAAAGTTGCTGAATGGTTTTCAACATTTTTGGGAAAACCTGGCTTAGATTTAATTTATTTTGATGAACAATTTGAACCACAATATGCAAAAAATATTGAACGAGAATTTACAAATGAAGCACTTGATTCAGATGTTGTTGCATATCAAAGTATGAGTCCATTTCTTTTATGTTCATTAGAATCACTAGATGATCTTAATAAACGATTAACAAATCCAATAAAAATATATAATTTTCGACCAAATATTATTGTTAGTGGTGTTGATAAACCATATGGAGAAGTAGATTATATAATTCGTTAATACGAATAAATATTATTTTGATAGAATATTTAGGATTATTGGCGAGAAATACAAATAGGTGATAAAGTTAAACTTCGTTGGTTTCGATCATGTTTGCGGTAATATGAAAGTCTTTAGTTATATATATTTCGAATGATAACGATAAGTTTTTGACTACAGAACGGAATATATGTATGCTTGTAGAGATAGATCTCCTTCTCTATGTAATGATGTACGTATTTTCAAATTCTATTGCATACCATTCATGTGTAAATAGGTAGTGCCATGTTCACCGCAACCATCGTAGAAACTTTTACTTCTACAAGTCTATATACATCTCATTCTGTAGTTAAAAGTCATCGAAAAATTTAGAATCGTATTTTAAAATCTAATTTAGATGTTTACTAACAACTATTAATCAAGAAACGGGTATTCGTAATGCAAATCAAGAACCATGGAAAACACTTCAAACGTAATTTCAAAATTTCAAACTTTTCTGCATATTTAATCATATATTTGTGAGTGTCTATACAGATACCGGCGTAAACCAGATTTGTATGGTGTTAACGCACAATTCGGAATATATCTTGCAAGTAATGAAAATGGTATAATCCGTGTTGGTGATCGTGTTCGTATTTTACGAGAAGATAAAAACTTTTAGTTTCCTCCTTTGGTTTGGTTGATGGAGCAATGAATTAATTTTAAAGTTTTTATTTTATTAAATAGAAAGAAAATAGATATATATAGTTGAAGACAGTTTTTGAAGAAGATTATTTCAATAAATAACGTTTTCTTTTGCATAATTAATCAAAAGATTTTCAATCTGGAACTGAGAAAATTGTTAGTTTGGTTCATATCTATATATTTATTGTATATGTAAGCATCTGATTCATTAATTTCGATGCTTCACATTTATAGTTTATAGTCATTATTGTTGAATAGTATCTATGCCTATAAATTGATTCGGATCAAGAACGTTGAGGTATTTATTTTTATTGAAATGAATGACCAGCGCGTAAAATTATTATTTTTTCCTGTTTTCTTTCTTAAATTGATCACCCTTTTCTTTCATTTATACTGAATTCTTGAGGTACATGAAATACAATATAAATCAAAATTTTTATATTTTTTTCATGCGAAAAATTTATCTATGAAATCTGTCAAGATATATCTTGGTTTAGTAAATATACAAACTCTGCTAAGGTACAGCACGATCTATCAGAGTTTACCAGATCTTGGTTTGTTTGTGTGTGTGCGTGCTATCGTTCCCATCTTCATCTTGAAAAAATTAATTTCACACATAAGCGTCAGCGCAGTAGTAATCACACATATGTGGACACTAAACTATCGTACAAATTCATGCAGCTTTGTTATCTCGTTCAAGAGAAAGCTGTCGCACCACCACTAGCGAAATGGATATCTATGCAATATTGATTTCATTTTCACGAAAATCTGTGATCACTAATAATATAAGCCTACAACTCGCAGAACATTTGGAAGTGTTCTTCTCTTAGAGATTTGAATTTTAAAAAATCCGATGGAATAAATAGAGACTTATTCAAGATTGTTGTCGATGAAATTAGACTTGCGTTAAAAAAATGTTAACTTGTTGATAAAGAAGAAAAAAAATGATTTCAAGGGCTTGTTGATAGGAGCAGAATGAGTTTAGATAGTCTAGCACGTCTTCATAGATTTGATCGATGTTTAATTGACAAATAGCCAATGATTGATTTTTTGTTGGAAAAATTTCTTCGACAATTTCGAGTCCATTGCTAAGAAACAGAGGGATTTGTGGACAGTTTCTTATCAAGATATATAGGCTCTAGATATTGTAATAGCAAGTAGTTGAGTACAGATGATTTCAAATGTTTCTTCCTAAGGAGAACGCGCTAATGGATATTCATCTACTTTCATACAAATTTCACTAAGGGAAATGCATGAAGTAGCTAAATCGCCATGATTTGGATCAAATATTTTTTCGACGATTTTGAACGTGTAATCTCAAAACAATATCGTGTTCGAATACTCTTCCATACTGTGATATAATTCGTCAATTTTTTTATCGCAAGTAAATAGAAAAGAATAGAAATGTTGTTGTTATTATTGTAGCATTTTTATTTGTATGGAATTGCCTATCAACGATTAATTTTGGTCTATTTTTCCAAATCTGGATCGATTGTATTCAATTATAATAATATCTCATTCTGATATATTCCAATCTCAATTACAAGCTTTACTTGATCGAGCACCTCATCTTGATAGAATAAGTATTCACCCAGACAAATCATTACCCTTGCAAATATCTCTATTCAAATATACAAATCCATCAATTCGTAAACTCCGTTTGTATTATTATCATCATTTTAATGAGGAAGAATGTCTGTTATATTGAGTCATTCATCATTAGGTGTTCAATGTCAAATACTTTCTATTGTAGTCGAAAATCGTAAAAGTATTATTATTTTTGTCAAAATTATGATCAATATTCGAGCACTATATATCACTTGTCAAGATGAAAATAATTCTGAACATTTGACTTCATAAGAAAAAAACGATAACTTTTCCGATGGAAAAATACAAAACAAATATGAACTTATTCAATGGTTAAAAGATCGTTTGTCAGCATCGTGTTTAGTCTTAAGAGATCGACTCTCTGCTATTCGATTTCGTATATGAATGTAAGAGTGATCATGAAAACTCTGTAATAATTAATCAGTATTATTTTAATTTGTGCAAGTAATGTTTAGAATGATTAGACTCGATTAAAATTTATCTTTATACAAGATGAATCAATGATTCAAGACATCATTATTAATAGAGATTGAACAAATCTAAAAACAATGATAATTTAAGACACTTTTTGATCTATCTCATTTGTCTATACCCTTTCTTTTTCATTATTATATTGTTAATTTGAATGATGTATGCATTCAAACAAATATATGATACTGATGTTAATAAAAGTTCTATTAATAATCCACATAAAATGTTCTTCTGCTTTGATAATTTATAAATTTCGTTGATATACCTTTCGATTCAAATCACTTCTTAGAGGTTACATGAAAAACAGACTGAAATTCATTTTATTGTTGTGACGAATGCAATGTTCATTGTGACAAATAAACACAGAGGTTTTAATTAGTGCGTAACAGTTGGAAACAAAAATTTAAAGGGTATTAACCTTCACCATGAGCCATTGTTTCGCTTTAAATATTGTCGAACCATGATTGCATATAAAATGAGTCAAAGAAATGGTGTGTTTGTGTTACTCTCTATTTGTAGAAATTGATTCTTTCTACATAAATATCAATACTAATTAATCAAAACAAATAATGACAGAATAAACTTTATCATATCTGATTTTTGCATCTTTTCTTTCGCACACTACTATTTCAGAGCTATAGGAGACAACTAACAAGTTGTCGGTGTGAACATGGTTATGAGTGTGTTGTGGGTATGAGTGAGGATCTTCTTTGAAGTCAGCTCATACCCACTTTCAAATCCACATTCATACCCTAGACGTCGTCTTCCTCGTGTCTTTACGTTTTATACTTTTTTCTTTCGTTTCTTTCTTGCGTTCTCCGTAGCGGAAGAGCCAAAACTTCTAGACAAGCGTTGCTTTCGTGGCGGCTCTAAAATAAAATTAATCTTCTCAGAGATATTTCATGTTCTGTTGGGAACCCTTACAGGTGTGCAGATGGTAGGCCTTCGTAACATACATATATGTACGTATGCCTATAGAGTTCATCTTCTCATTATCTTTTCCGAGACGATGGTTATGAATGTACCAGTCATACAAACTTAGATGTATGTGTGCCTAACCATTGCTGGCTTCTTCCATTGTAAGAATCGGCCGAATACCGAGGGTATCCCTTATCGTGCATGTGTGAAATCTTGCAGTTTCTGTGCTTCAGTGAGCCAAATGTTCAAGAATGCCAATTTGTTTTCTCATTTAAAAAGACAAAACAATTACATTTTCATTTTTACATGTTCAATGTTTTCTTTCACCGAAACAATATCTGGATGATTTGGAGGCAGCGATTTTTCGAAGATCTCTCGTGTTCTTTCCAGAAATGAGAGTGCTTTTGAGTAGTCGCCCATGTGATAATACATCTTACCGATGTTGTTGTAGGAAGCAGCCAGGTTGGGATGATTCGGAGGAAGAGCTATTTTCCGAATTTCAAGTGATCGTTCGAATGATAAAAGTGCTTTCGAGTACTCGCCCATGTTATCATACACCAAACCAATATTGTTGTAAGACGAAGCCAAGTCTGGGTGATTCGGAGGAAGAGCTATCTTCCGAATTTCAAGTGATCGTTCGTACGATGAAAGTGCTCTCGAGTAGTCGCCCATGTTACCATACACTTCACCAATGCTGTTGTAGGACGAAGCCAAGTCGGGATGACTTGGAGGAAGATTTTTTTTCTGGATTTCAAGCGACTGTTCGTACGACGTAAGTGCTTTTGAGTATTCACCCATGTGGTAATACACCTCACCAAGTTTGCCATTGTAATCTGCTCTATCTTTATCGGAAGATGCTTTTTCAAGGAGAATTCGGTAGAGCTGTTGTGTTTTTTGAAAGTCGCTTACATTTATAAGTATATGGCCTAGTCGAGACCATCCCGTCGTTTCAATAAGCTCAGTACGTATGTGTGTTGTAAGTGTGTTCAATTCGTGATTGTCATTTTCCACGAGAGTGAGATTCACTTCGTATAGCCGATCACATTCATCATTGTGAATATGTTCAATGCGATTGATGCGGAAAATAGTGTGTGTTGTAAAAAGTATTTCTGCTTCATCACCCTTGAAGTAGCCTTCTTTGCTAACATCGACGTAAGGTATTGATGATTTCGAACATATCAGAGGGTCGATAGACATTATGAAGAGAATGCCATACATACTGAAATTTTGTGCTGCACCATCGCGAGCAAATTGAAGGGACACTTGACGGTTCTCACTTGTGGAAAGAAAATTGTTGAAGGACATCAGTTCTCCTTTAGTTTGTTTCATTTTTCCGAAGTTTTCGAAGGATAAACCTTGTCCACGGAAAACTGTAAATGTTGTCATCGTCTCATTCTTGGATTGTTGTTCTTGATATAAATTGTCAATATGGTTATGTAAGTGTCGAATAAAAAAACCCATTCTGAGTATAATATCGACATCCATTAGTCGAAGGCCACGATTGAGCACTGAGTAAACAAAGTATGGTGCTGTATACCACCATATTGGTGTGTGATCACGATACTCACGCTCGATCTTCTTAATTTCGCCTTTATCAATATCACCTTGTTGATCACAATATTCAGTCAGTTCCTTAATCGAGTTTGTATCATCATCTTCCATATTCAAAAGTGCTTCTTTTAACAGTCGCGTATACATAAATAATGGATCAATACCATTAAAATTCATTGAGATCATCGCTCGATCACAGTTTTTACGGTCGATTTGCAATGCTTCACAAATCGGTTCAATTTTTGTGTACACACCCTTTACCTTGTGTATTTTGCTAACCCATTGTTCATGAACCAATTGGTCGCCACAAAACACATATACTGATTCTAGTTGTGGCCATGTTTCAATTTCTGGTATAACTTGTCGACCCAAGGAGCCAGATACAATCATAAATACCTTTTCCTGTTCAATCTCACTAAGGTAATCAACACATTCTTCAGCATCCGTAAATGTTGTGATCGATGCAACAATGCGTCGTAGATGTTGTATCGAGTTTTTGAAATCTTCATTAGATTCATCAAAATTGGCATCAAGCCATACCAACAGAAAATTTTGTAGAACTCGACGAATAGGTCTGGGTAACACAGCAACACGATTGGTGGTGGTAGTCATCGCTAATGTCTTACTAGCAGCAGTTTTTGTCGGCTTTTATATGTCCATGATGAATGAAGGAAGGATGAATGCAATAAGTAAAACGTTGTCGCCCTATATTTATATGGGTGTTTTATTCTTTTTGTTGATACCTTTTCTGCCTAACGGCTATGAACTTCAAGGGCTTCTTCTTTCGATCGTTCGTTTTTTTTTCAGGAATGTGTTGCTGATGAAAGGACGATAAAGAACGGGCGAAGTTTATATGTGCCACGAGCAAGAACGAAAAGAGCTAAAATGAATGAATTGTCGTCATTCATAGAAAAGAAAAAACTAAAAATCATAAATAGAATTTTAAAATGTTATTGGTTGTTCTGATTGTTATTGATTTAGTTGTTAAGCTTTTTTCTCCTCATAGTAAGTAAGGTATTATTAATGTGTGCTTTGCTAGACATATAGAAAGAAGAGAACAAAGAGAAGACAAAAACTCGCACCGATGTTTTGTGCGTTTCAGTCGTTGGAGTCAACAAAATTTAAAAGCAAGCTGCACAAAAAAGAATTATTCACTTTTTGTTCGTCTTTTTTTGTAGAATGCTATCATCAAATATACTAGTGAGTGGCTGTTTTGTTTCAAATAATAATAAACAAAATTGAGTCGGTTTTCATATATCATTTAATACATTTTTTATTAATCTTCGACTATTATTACAACTGAAATAGATCGATTTGAACAAAAAGATACTACATATATATAGAAATATGAAGCAGTAGTACGACTAAATGAAAGAATAATTTTGAAATGAAAATGCTTATTTAATTATTGATTGTTCTAAGACTTTTTTGTATGTCAATTTGAATGTGGGTAGGTGTGGATGTGGGCATGGATGTGGATATAGATGGATACAGTTTTTTCATTTCACCCATATTCTATCCACGCCCACCCTCAACTAAGGATCCGTTATTTCGAAAATCAACATTTTAGATATTAGGAGTAAAATAATAAAAAATGAGCACGCGTACGTGAAAATTTTGACTATCAAGATTTTGTTTTCAAATAAAATGTATGTTATATTCAATATCAACATGACAAATCGGATTGAATGGCATAAACTTCATGAAAAATATATTTGTCATCGAAATTCGAATCCAACTTCTACTACTCTGGGTTAACGGGTATGATTTCTTTTAGGTACCAACTCGTGTCAAGTTTCTACGACAAATATTTTTTAATGAAGTCTATGTCATTCAATCCGATTTGTTATGCTGAATTCAAATATCACATACATTTTCTCTGTTTACTCCCAATATCGATAAAGTTGATTTTCGGAATAACCGATTCTTTTTTACTGGATACGCTGGTTTTTTTCCCCGTTGGTCTGTTAGCTGAGTGTGGATGTGAGTGGTATGGGCTGCTGTTCAACTTATCTTAACTCACACCCACACTCTAACAGCGATCCGATATACAAAATCTATTTATTAATAGATTTTTATTTCTCTACCAAGTTGTTTTGACGTGCAAAAAAAGTCTCATTTTCACGACCAATATAACGGTGGCATTGATACTCATGTAAAATATTTCGAATATTTTAATTAATTGTCTCGATCTTTCAATCTGAACTAGGACAATTTAAAATTGAACTGAATTCTATTCTGATTTGTGACATATACATTTGAATAAATATGAAATTCGTACGTATTTATATTGAACGGTTTCTTGTTCAACTTGTTGTGTTAAACCATCAGCTGGTCCTAAAAAAAGTGTATAGGATTCATGATCAACATCAACAGATATTTAAAAAACTATTTTCATTGATTTGATTAATAAGAAACTGATTTCAATAATCAACTGTCGGTTTTGATGGAATTCGAGCAAGTAAAAGATTAAGAAAAGCTAAATGAACATTAATAACATCGGTTCAAAAAAAAGAAAACATAACAACAAGAATTAACTTACCCGTTGTTTTACCTCAACGTGTTCCCGTGACACCAATCATATCTCGACTTTGTAAACTATTTGGGATAGCTTGTCCTTGAATTTTAGTTGCATTATACTAATAAAAAATAGATTAAGTGAAAAACCTCTACGTAGTAGATATTATTGTTGTTTTAACACGATAATCAATCATCCGGAAGACAATCGGCCTTATTTATTTTTTTCATGGGCACTCTAATTTATGTTTGCAGAGTGTGAGGGTGGGCAGGTAACAATACTTAATCTGCATCAGCGTACACATCTACATCCTTGTGATCGATTGCATGGCAATCGAAAATAGTTGGGTACACACAAGAGTTCGGCTTCAGACAATAATTTCAATCAATAAAACATAAGGCTCGCTTCTTTGAGCATGAATGTATATTCTAAAAATCTTCTTGAAATCAAATACTTACATAAGTGACTGAAGACAATATTTACGCTCATTAACGGTTTTCCCAGGATTTTTCACTTTAAACCCATTCAAACCAGATTATCTCGAATGAGAGATTAGTCAAGCAAGAATTGATGATACACTACTGGTCAAAAGTATTGACCCCCCTCGGATTTCAGTTACTATACGAGCTGTTGGCCTGGAATTTGCAGTTTATATGACCCTCGATAAATGTAGATCAGCAGCGAAACCTGCGTCCCGAAAGAATGAGTTACAAGAGAGTTATTAGCCAAACGGTGTATCACCATTGTAGACTCTAGAACTTGACAACAACAAAACATTTTGAGCTCAGGCTTTCACCATTTTAAAGCTCTATATATTGACTATCTCTGATAAAAATTTCATCAATATTTATCGAGTCTTTGTGAAACTAGACTCATTTTACTAAAGACATGGGTGATATGAAAAACCTTCAGTAAGCAATGTGCTCGCCATAATTTAGTCTGGGATCGACATATAGACTCCAAACTTATAGTATAATATACTCCGTAGATTTGCAGCATTTTCTAAAATTTTCAGACTTATATCACTTACTAGAAGGGAATGGAACTAAGCTGAGTGTGTAGATGTTGTCACAGGTCTAGATACTTGAATACTCAAGCAAATGGCCCCATCTTTGGAGTAGGTAAACAGCATGCTTAGAGGCACAGTTCTATCGAAAAATAATTGCAAAATTCGCAAGATAACACAGAAAACGAGAGATGAACTTTCTTAGTCATTTTTTTCCCTAGTAGACACCATTATGATTACGCGTGAGAATTTATTCCTTTTCACAATTATACATGTACTATCGCCCTAATTCTCACTATGATACTTGTGCTGACTCATCATCACCATGAAAACACTCAGAAGACCGTTGACACATACGATCCCGATGAGTAAATAACCTTCAAGTCTTGTCAATAAGCAAAAAACCTCTATTCCCGATATTTTCTCACGAGCGTAGAACAATAACAGAAAAATGTTTCTATAGTGGAAAAAAAATGACCAAGAAAGTTCATCTCTCGTTTTCTGTGTTATCTTGCGAATTTTGTGATTATTTTTCGATAGAACTGTGCCTCTAAGCATGCTGTTTACCTACTCCAAAGATGAGGCCATTTGCTTGAGTATTCAAGTATCTAGACCTGTGACAACATCTACACACTCAGCTTAGTTCCATTCCCTTCTAGTAAGTGATATAAGTCTGAAAATTTTAGAAAATGCTGCAAATCTACGGAGTATATTATACTATAAGTTTGGAGTCTATATGTCGATCCCAGACTAAATTATGGCGAGCACATTGCTTACTGAAGGTTTTTCATATCACCCATGTCTTTAGTAAAATGAGTCTAGTTTTACAAAGACTCGATAAATATTGATGAAATTTTTATCAGAGATAGTCAATATATAGGGCTTTAAAATGGTGAAAGCCCGAGCTCAAAAGATTTTGTTGTTGTCAAGTTCTAGAGTCTACAATGGTGATACACTGTTTGGCTAATAACTCTCTTGTAATTCATTCTTTCGGGACGCAGATTTCGCTGCTGATCTACATTTATCGAGAATCATATAAACTGAAAATTTCAGCGCAACAGCTCGTATAGTAACTGAGATCCGAGGAGGGTCGATACGTTTGGCCATTAGTGTATATATTGCTTCAATTCTTCAGGCGTTTAGTCTATTTCTGGATGGTCTCTCATAATGAACATACATTTTGAATAGCAACGGCCAATGGAAATATTTTTAATCCAGAACTTTATTCTTTAACTCTTTGAGGGCGGACGACTTATATATAGATTCAGTTTAGAAACAATTCCATACTATGGGCTATTTAATTTCAGTCTGAATTTATCAAATAAAAATAATACTTGATTTCAAACTGAAACGTGAGTCTAGGAGTGAGGGGGGGAGTGACTGAGGGTGTGGGTGTTGGTCTGGGACCCACACACACACACACACCCACACCCATGGTGCGGGTGTGGGCGCGCGAGTGAGGGTGAGGGTGTGCTTGTGGCTTTGTGTACTATAGGCTTTAGTCCCCTGCACAAGGGACTAAGCGGGGACTAAGCTTTTTGTGGGGGGGACTAAGGGGGACTTTGCAGGACTAGGGGGGACTAAGGGTTTTTAGTGGGACTACGTAGTATCAAACGAGAAAAGTTTGATTCGGAAGAAATTGGTGCGGTTTTTTTGATTTTAGAATTCAGTTTGAAATAAAAAAGCCCATAGACTCAACAATTCATAGTTGATTTGTTGATACTTTGTATGATGCTTTTATGACGTCCACTGGTATGCAGGTCATGAATTTATGATTTGTAGAGGTGTCGAATTCTTAATGTCACCTTACTGCATGACCTTTTTCGAATAAATCCAACTTTTAACTTCACGGAACATTGATATTGTCATTAGATTTGCATTTCTAGCAAACATGTCTATTAACTCTCTGTGTAGTATGGCATTGCCATTTGCAATGCACTCTCTTTTATCTTTTAGGAATCCAAAAAGTTTGATTATATTGTTAAAATTAATCCCGTCCTCAAGGACTTATGAATAAAAACGATTGATGGTCATACTATCGATATTTTCCATTTGAGAGTGTGTTTAATAGTCTTTTACTCAAACAAATCCACAGGCACACTGACAAACACCCACCCGCATCCACTTCGATACCCACACTTACACCCGAAATCGTTGAGGATAAGAATGTTCTGTGAAACGAAAAGTATGTGGATCGATTTTTATATAGATTCAATTATCTTAGAATTTCAAATTGAATTATTTCTAACGTTGAAATTCATGTACTTATTGAATTAAGGTTGAAAGGCCTATGTGTTTGCTCGTGAATTTAAACTCAAAGAGTGTTGATGTATTAGAACTTTTTAGTGAAATACTACATTAAGATTGTTATGACTCGTACAACTATCAATAAAACACCTGTTATAGTATGAAATGATGCTCATGTTATGTTCTAAGACAGATTCCAACTAATTTTCTTTTTGATGAATTCAAAATTACGTGCATATGTCATTTTCTTTTAGGAATCGTTCCTTTTTCACTATTTCTCGTTTGTCAAGCCACCTCACAAAACCTGGCTGTCATTTATTGCACATAGATAAACTTACGACGGAACGTTCCCAACTGTCAAATCGCTTTTGGATCGGACATGCGCTCAAACGGTAGACCTCAGTGAGTTATTAAATGCCTTAGAATGGTTTGGTTTTCCAGCCTTTTTTTTGTCGAGTTATGGGTCTTTTACTCGATTTTGGCTTATGGGCATACGATTCTTCTGAGTATCTGAATGATCGAATTTCAAACTGAAATCTTGCCCATATATAGGCATTATAAGCACCAGAAACTCTCCAAAGTTTGAACCAGAACGAACGCATCCTTATCGAGATATCAGCTTGTCATGAAAATGTCTCTATTTTGTAATACAGCTCAAAACAGGCGTTTCTTTTATAATGTGAATATCTCGATAAGGATAAATTCATTCTGGTTCAAACATAGAGGAGTTGCTCTATATGTATAATACTAAATTAACCCATGTACAATGTTATACAACCTATACGGTGATCACCACCAAACTATACGTGTAGGCGTGAGCATCTATAACATGATGCACGAATCTTCCGTCGTCGCGTCTAACTCTTTCTCCCATCATACTATACTCCACGTATGCGAGATACGCTACGATTCTTTCAAAGAATGAACACGAAAAACAAAACAATCGAAACAAATACCATCACAAAAAATCAAGAGCTAAGGATTTACAACGTAGAAGCCCGAAGTGCTCTATTCAGAATAAAAACGCTGATGGTGAATAGTCTCAACAGAGAACACAAAAAAAGTTAGCAAAAAAGACAAATACATTCATGTTACAACAAATGTTTTCATTATGGAAGCATCGCAACTCAAAAACTGCAATTTAATTCAAATGTTGATTTAGTCTGAAGAGCTTATCGAATAATTATTATTTAGATTTTATTGCCAGTTATTTTAATTTTATTTAACTTGATACTGTTTTGATTATATTTTAGCCTAATTTTTATTCTTTTTTTTTTAGAGAATTAATTAAATTTAATATAATTTTGTTTTATCGTAATTGAATTCCACTTAGTTTTTTTTTCATTCTATTTAACGTTTATTTTAAATTTATTAGTCAACAGTAAAATGCACTTATAAGTCACGGTAAACTAGATTTAAGCTGTTAATTTACAGCAAATGGTACCAGAGGACCAATGCCCACTCTAAACAATCAGTTTATTACAGAATTTGAAAAAAAAAGAGTTTAGCAACTTGCTAAATCAAAAAAGATATTACCTGGGGTATATATGAAGAATCTTTACGTCTGAACTTTTTTCGGTTTCGTAAGTAAGAAAAATGTTTTGTAGAAAACTTACAAAACCTTGGAAGTTCAACAAAATACCTTGAGTGTTTAACACAAAGCCGTTAGAAATCTCAACTAAACCTAAACAATTCATAAGTAAAGATTCTTTCCGTCTAACTTGTGAAAGAGCCTTTTTTGGTTGAGCAACTTCCTACACTTTTTTGAAAGTTCGATACGAAACAGATTTTTTTAGAGTGTAAGGAGAAAGGAATGATAGGAAGGGGTTGAAGTCAAAGAATGCATGACGTTTCTATATAAATTCAACAGGATTTCATAGAAGTTCGAGTGTATCAGACGCTTTCCAACTATCAGGTCTGACATCTGACAACTTCTGACAGGATTTTGACGAAAGTTATCCGATTATTCGAGCATTCCAGTGGAATTCGAGTCCAGGAGTCTTCGTTCTGGATAGTTTTAACGGATATAAAGGAAACTCAAGACTAAAGCTGACGAGTATTATGACGTTTTTGGACTAGTCATATCGCCAGTCTTCACTTAGTTTTAGCTTACTTAGTAATTCGTGCTATGTGTGCGTTGTTCAACAATCTTCTTTCGTTTTTTTAATATGCTTTGGTTAAGTTACTCACCTCAACGAAATCAATAAAATCAGCTATACAGAAAAATTTGCGCTTCCTGTGCCTGTTGTTTACACTAGGTGTTGTGCATGTAACACCTTATGCCCACTATGGCGAATGACTCTTTTTTTACCTTGGCACCAAGGTAACTTTATGCATTTCTTGCCACTGATTGTCTTGATTCTTTTTCTTTCTTTTTTGGATTTCTTTTTTTCGTCAACTACACAATTTATGAAGGACTGATGCAGGTAAGACGTGCAGAGAAAGTGGCACTTGCCGTAACATTGTGTAGAAAACGATATGTTAAAGTGACTTTCTCACATTGGGTTTTCTACCGGAAACAAATAGAATATATATTTTCACTGCAAAATACGGTAAAAGCCATAAGTCTTGCGCCACCTTGTTTCGACTCCCATATCAAAACAATAAGATATTTTTTCAATGTAATTTTTATCAGATAGAAGAGCTCGAGTTCTATATATATGTATTTAATTGAGATGAATAACTCTTGAGTACGACAAACAGAGAATTAAACAAACTTCAAGACTACTTAAAACAATGCATAAAAAAGAGAAATCGATATTTTTTTATTTTTTATTCTTTGATAAGGAATGGCGATGATTTGAAGGAGATCGACAATCCTTATATATGCCTGTGACATACATTTTGTCCTCTTGTGGTACCACAATGATTGTAATAGTATTTTATGTTTTTGTCTGCTGTAGCAAACCATTCATTCTTCATAGTCGTAGCTAGGTTGTCTTCAGTAAGAAATGAATGTATTCTTACTCGTTTTTTCCATGCGTGGAGTAAAGAGTGGTGCATCATATTGTTTAACTTCTTACGATTTTCATTAAGGAGAGCGATACCCAACTTGACCATAGATTTTTTGAAAGTGACAAAAATATTTTTCTTTTGTATTTAAAAACGAATGAACCTTTGTTCAATCATAATTGTTATCATTCGTTAGATATTCATGTAGCCGAAGAAGAGCCAATCGGATAGAGATACATCTGTCCTGCTTACAGAATGCATTTTAACACAGACTGTATACGAAACAGCTCAACTAAGATATGGTATCAAATCACTAAATTTTCATTCCGTATTCATTTTCACATAAGTCACAATATCTTTCTACCGATGCAAACTCAGCAGAGCACAGATGCCATTCATAAATCTTATATCATTGGCTATTGCTCGACAATCTCTATCGAGTAGTATGAAATTCAACCTTTAACAAACATTTCACCGAAGTAAAGGATCTCTAAAATCATGAAAAATGACATTTTAACTAATATTGCATATGTCGATTCGTCCACTGATCTAAGCTACGCAAGAATCTTACATCATTCGATGTAAATCGACGCGTCTTAATAGATACATGCGTGTAGCTATGAAGCTTGAGCATTGTTTTAAAGACCTTATATTCGTCCGTACTGATCTGAGAATAAACAAACAATGAAATATCTGGTATACACTGATTGTATCCAAAAGAACAAAGAACTTTTACTTTATGTAAAACCAATTTTGTCCATATGGTTTCTTGTTATTATTGTGTGCGCATTTGTGACCATAATTAGCCTTATAGCAACAAATTGTGCCAGTTTCTCTCCAACCAGACGAAAAAAAGAATGAAAACGTTCACGCTATTTTCCTTTTTGTAATCGATAAAACCATTTAAGATGAGTATTATGATAATTTTTGCAGTATAGATGTAATGAACAATAATCAAGCATTACAATATGGTAGATCCTGAAACACAATCAACACGTTTACAATCGTATGCGCGCATTACAGTAGCTGTCCATAAGGCAAGTAGTAGGCAGAACTCAACCGTCTAACTGTGAATATTTTTTTGCTGCATTTTAGTGGGTCGTAGAAAATAATAAGCAATGTAGCGACAGACAGTGAGTATCTCATTTGTATAATCTATCCGATCATTGATGTGTACGGGTTAGAATTGAAGATTATGGACAAATACATTTCACGCAGAATGATCGCAAATCATGGGTAAGTCTAAATTTTGATTGCTGAGAATATTGATCGAATTCAAATTAGTATATACGTTATCCATTCAATCCTCCTAATGCTGTTCCATCAACACCACAAAAAGAGACTCACCAGCAGAGAAAACTTACTGCTATCGTAGAAGAACGAAATCGCCGATCAAGTTTCTCTGCGATTCATCAACTGCCCGCTAGCCATGTTATTATTCCTATGCAACCCGTATTACACGAACCAGCTAAGCATATTATTGAATTGTTGCGTGATAAATGGGAATTGCCCCCACCTGAATTGATAATCTCAGTCACAGGCGGGGCTAGAATCTTTAATTTGACACAAAGAAGTCGTACTGCTCTTCAAAAGGGTCTAGTCTGGGCTGCTGTCACTACTGGTAAGATTCAAGATTGGTATTCTGTTTATGTCTATCTTTGAACAGATGCTTGGGTATTTACTGGAGGGACATATGCTGGTGTTATGAAGGATGTGGGTGATGCATTCGAAAAATGGACATACAAGACTAGTAGTATGGATAAAAGCCATGCTCGAGTTCCCGTTATTGGAATTGCAAGCTGGTATTATACGACAAGTAAGAGAAAGTAAACATTCTATTCTTGTGAACATTCTTTTTTCATTATTCAAAAATAGATTATAGACAACTCATTCAACAACGACCTATAAAATTGAGCAGTGTAGGAGTATGTATATGATTTTCATGAGCTATCTGAAAAACGAAAATATTATCTAGAGTTCGACACCTACGTCGATGTTTAGCACTGTAGCTGATCGTGAGAAACTCTATCGTAATTGTGTACCACAAAAGGCGCCTGCATCATATCCTCTCGATCCGAATCACACTCACTTTATTCTGCTTGACGATAAATGTGGTGCAGATGATGGAAACTGGAGACAACATGGATTTCCTATTCGAGCTGATCTCACTATTCAGTTGCGTGCTGAGATTGAACAAGAAGCTCGTTGTAGCTCTCATTATAGACAAAGTAATTAATGCCCCTCTTTGTCTAGTTATTATGTTCTATTCTACAGATTATAAAATTCCAATTATTCAAATATTGATCGAAGGTGGTCCTTCATCTCTTCTAACGGTGGTTGAAGCAGTAACGCATGAAACACCCGTCATTGTCATTGAGGTATGTGTTCAATGTAAAAGTAATCAGAAGAACAAACTGTATGTTCACTTTCATAGGGTACGGGCAGAGCAGCTAATTTTATTGCGAAAGCATATAATGCATTATATCGCAATCAAACAACATATGTTCCACCAACGAATCATAATTCTGATTTGTAATATTCATGTTTTCTTCTGAAAAGATTTAACTTTTGTTTTAGAGAACGACTAATAAAACAAGCTGGTCGAGACATTATCACTAAAAGTAATGAAAAGTGTTTTCGTGACATGATAAGATCAGAAAAAGGCTTCTTCTTAATCAATACCTTTTTACTGTGTCCTGATGATCCTGAATTTAAATTGGGTGATGCCATACTTGAAGCATTATTTCGAGGTATTTACATAATCTATATCCACTTTTGAATTGTTTTCTATTTAGCGGCAAGCATGCCTAAGCATGAAGCATCTGATGCTCATGTACAAAAGCTCAAATTAGCCATGGCTTGGAACAAATTTGATTTGGCCGTCTCAGACATGTTCACCGAAAACATCAAAATTCTGTGGACAGTAAGCATTGTAACAGAAAAGAATCTTAATTTCCGACTTACATTAACTTTCAAAAGGATAATCAATTGGATAGTGCTTTAATTCATGCAATACAGCATGACTCTGTTCAATTTGTTGAACTTCTCGTTGAACAAGGTGCATCATTCGATCGCCTTCGACGATTGATCAATATTAAGGATTTATACAAGAAAGTGAGTGAAACTCTGCACAATTCATACATAACTTTGAATATTGGTAGAAAACTGGTCTACCATTGTGGAAGAAAGAAATTACAGTAGACGACGGTAACAAACAAAAAATGTATTACAAACAATATCTGAATACGGAAGCATTGAAAACAATCGAATCTTTCCAAGTAAAATAAACTTAACAGTCAAGTTCGAGAAAATCATAGTTTTTGTTTTTCAGGAAAAAAAAGCGCCGCATCCAAGTATGACAGAGAACATGCTCATAAATATCGTTTATCATTTTTATTCTCGATTTTAGACGATATCGATATCTATGGCACTATCGATAATCCGGTAAAAGAAACGACAAATCTAAATGGATTTGTTGTCTTCAATGGAGACGATGTTATCAGACGAAATGGTTATATAACACAAGTCTCGATTGGTTTTTCACATTCTCGCAGTCCATTTATGACAACGGATATGTCACATCATATAGTTCTCTATGTCCTTTCGCCAACAGCGGATACGAATTCTTTTCAAGTGATCCATATATCAAAGATAGAAGAGGGCAATTATGAATATAATCAGAACAAATTAATATTTCATTTGTACAACTCCGCTATCTACGTCGAACAAGGTCAATATTTGGCTATTGGCTTCGATAAGAATTCGCGCTCTCCAAGCTATTGGGATGCTCAAAGTTTGTGTTATACACTTGACATCGATGCGGTCAATAGAGTCTATGAGACCAATGCTTCCATTCAATTCCAACAAAATACTAGAAGAGTAGCAATTAGCTTTCAGTTACTTTTCACTGCAGGTGAGATTATTGTTTTTCACGAATGAAAAAGGGATTATTAAATCAACTGAAATTTCTGAGATCTATTTGAATATTGACAGAAATGAAAGTAACAAATTGTTTGTTTAGAATTTATTCGTGATATATATCTGTGGTCAATATTTGCTGCTAGCTACAACTTGTCCATCTGTTTGTGTTCACACAGTCCGGTACGTTTTTTTTTCTTAGGTCTTAATTGTTTGCTCATAATCGAAATCGTTTGACGATTGAAATAGAACCCAATTGTTGCTGCACTTTTGGCTAGTAAGATTCATAAAAAAGCAGCTGAATTGGTCAATGACAGAGAGCTACAAAGAAAATACCTTGCAAAAAAGGAGTACGACACGATTCCTTTAAAACTTTATTTTAATAATATATTCTGTTATTTGCACCAGGGAATTCGACATGCATGCAGCACAAATTATTGATAAATGTTTTTTTCAAGATGAAAATTTTGCCCTACAACTATTGACAACACAATCACACTTATATTTCGGCTATTCTTCGTTGAAATTAGCCGAAGAAACGAATAATCGTTCATTTCTAGCCACTAGATGTGTGCAAGCGCATGCTGATCGACTCTGGTATGGCCATATTGAGAATTCTGTCAACAGAAAAACTATTATTGATATACTGGTCAGTGATGCATAATTGAACTTTGTTTAAGTATTAAAGTTTGATAATATTACAGATGTGTATTCTGTGTATTTTTCCATTTCTCGTAACATTTCCTGCCATTTATCAGATTATTCGATCGTCGACCATAAAACAAGTGTGAGTTCAAAAAAAAAAGCCTTTTTGCTGATAGTTTCCTATGTAAAATTTTTTCATTGAAAATTCTATTACAATATCATTAGTTCGAGCATTTTTCAATTAAACTGTGTTAAAATCAAGAGTTTTTTTTTCGATTAGAATCGTATTTTTTCGGCAGAAACTTTTATATTGCCGATGTATGTTGAAATTAGGGGCAAACGCAGCTGGTTAAAAAGAAAAATCTATGATCGGCTCAAGGATTTCTTTGGCGGAAGAGCCATTATTCGATACTATTACACTATTGTAAGTGATTACATTCAATTTGAACATAATTATATATTCGATATCATTATAGATATTTTACGTACTCGTTTTGTGTCTATTCAGTTTTGTTATGCTTGTCGACTATTTTCCATACAATAACAATAGGGGCAAACGCAGTGGCTATTCGATCGGCATTCCAATTCCTGAAATCATTCTTCATATCTGTATTTGGGGATTAATCATCGAAGAAGCTGTTGAGGTATGTGAAAAGAACTTTATTGGATCACTGCTTCTATCTTTTAAATTGATTCGGTAAAAATAATAGTCAGTATTTAGTTTGTCATTCACTGCCGTCAACAAGTGGAAAGCAATAGTCGCATACGTATTATTATATCATCGTATTTTCTCGACGACAGATGGAATGTACTCGATGCTGTGGCTATTTTTATCTATCTCGTGGGTTTCATTACGAGATTCATTGTCATCGAACAAGCCTTTGTCATCTCAAAGTTAATTCTCCTGATGTTAATTTCTTTTTCAATTGTTCTGTCTGTTTTTCAAAGGATTTTCATGTGCACTGATCTCTTTCTGTGGTACATACGCATACTTCACTTGTTCTTTGCCTACGAACGACTTGGGCCCAAGTTATTAATGATATTTAACACAGTAAGTGAAAGTACTCTACTTTCATAATGTAATTCGTTCAAATCTCTTTTTAGATGAAAGATTTGATCTTCTTCATTTATTTCATTTTTGTTTTTCTTGTCGCCTATTCAATCAGTTCTTTTGCACTCATCCTTACTCCATATCAAGTTACCTGGATTCCAAATGAAAATGGTGCATCCTCCCGTACGTATATCATACAGAATAGAACCGACTTCTCGACACGGAGTCTCTTACGAAATATCATTGATTGGGGTATTTGGAAGATTTATGGACAAGTTGATCTTATTGACTACAAGCAAGTTTCTGAGTCGAGTATTACAGGTAAGGCACGTCATATTTGTTCTCATAATATCTAAAATATTTCCAAATAGTTGCTGGTGATGCCTACGGAAATTCGGCTTTTGTATTAACAATTATCTTCGTCTGTATCGCTAACGTACTTCTGCTCAATGTCCTCGTAGCTCTTTTTAAGTGAGCATTCGATTTTCAGCAAAACTTGTTTATGAATTGAGTGAACAAACTGAGCGATGACAAAAGAGGTTCTATCGAATGGAGAAAACATTGTATTTGTCACAGTAGATTGGATAAATGTTCAAAATCAACCTTTTAGCTAAAAAGTAGAGGACATAGATGAAGAGTTTCGATCTTCCAAGCACTTCAGTTTTATCATGAAGCACTATTCTTTCGTATCGCTTTGGTTAATATCTAAAATTTAAGACGATTCTCAAATTTGTGTAGCAAAAATGTCAATTTAAAAATATTCTGAAAATTTGATTAATACTAATGAATATTTTTTAGAATGATTTTACATTCCTTCCAACCAGAATCGTTTGATGAAATATTTAATAGAGTTTATTTATCTAACCTGGTAGTTCTACTCAAAACATCCCTAATATTTAGTGTATGGAGAAACTGGACGATTGAAATCTCTTACATGATTAGCAGGAATATACTCCGATAGTATCGTCGGTCGTCCATAAATCTGTTTCCAAAACAGATTCGAGAAAGACTTTTATCAAATCAAATATAAATTGCCTCTGACTCTAGTACATATTGAGTGGTTTACATTTGAAATAATTGACTATCAAAGCTATGAAGTGATATGTGATTAATTACTAGAGAATTAGTCTAGAGCAAGGCGAAAGTGAGTTAAATGGGTATCAGGAATTTCGCTTATTTCAAGTGTTCTTAAAAGAAAAGCCATCATTTCATTCTTTAAAACACTATTTAGTGTAAATCGATGAATTGACATCATAATATAGTAATGTATTCATTGTTTTTCTTTTAGTATTACACTTACAAAAGCGAACAAAAATGCACAGAAAGACTGGTGTTATCATCGGTTTCTACTTGTTAGAGAATATTCGAAGAAATCCCCAATACCATCACCATTAAATGTGTTATACTATATCATTCAACTGGTTACTATATTATTTCGGTTTTTAGGCAAGAAAAAGGGTAAGTATACTCGAAGTGAATCGGATCGACTAAGACATCATTAGCAGAACATATTAGTTATGGTTGCTAAACTCGAGTAATATTATCAGTCTTGATAGAGATATAAGTCAATGCCTTGTTACAAGTATATTTCCGACAAAAACAAAAGTAGACCTTATGACTTTTGTTGCAAGTTAGCTCTGATTCTGTAATGACTAAAGCTTTTACTTTGATTACATATGAACATCAGAGCAAGATTTGACGTGATAATTCAGATACACGCTTTTATATTTGAGTCATTAGAATAAAGAACTGGCAAAACTATGGATATCGAGAAAAGTCCCGATAAAAACGAGTGAAACATCATAGACAATCGTGAACAAGTATCTTCTCCGTCAAAAGAACATGACTTGTATGGAAAAGTAAATTAACATTTTGATGTACTGCACAAAATGCATTTTAATAAAACTGCTTCATATTGATCC